ATGGATACAGTTTTCACAGGTTTGGCTGAAATACTTATGGAAGGAGATTAGAAAATTATGATTACTGGGTTGTGGAATGTATGTTTTAGATTCCGATAATAACGGGAAATCTTTCCTAACCGTAAGGTTCCAATATTTTGAGAGACTTGCCTGAGTAACTGAAGGAAAGCCGTTTCCTGGGAACTCAAACTGCACAGTATCGCCCACCGTCACTTCTCCTGGATGGTTCACAATTTTTCTGTCTGAATCATTCGCGTGGCTAATGAAGGAAATGTGATTTTCCGGATGCCAATCCTTAAGAAGAAGATAGTGAGTAATTTTAAAAATTTTGAAACTTGAACTTGGCCAAATTTTGTAGACAGGAAGCCTTCAAATAAGTTTGTCCAGTGTTGTGACTCAAAGTTTTACGAGTATGTGCTCCAAAAGGCAAATTATTTTCAAAAAATAGATCCAAATGTTCAGTTTCATTCAGAAGCGTCAAGATAGGTAAGAGAAATGCCTTATATATCTTAGGACATCCTGATAGAGTCAACACTTATTTGACAAAGAATTTTTCTAGCTTAGATAACATTCGGTGAGAAAAACAATTACTTTTTTGTTAATAAGGAAACTTTAATTGCTTCAATTAAAGCAGGCACAATATGAACGAAGTTGAGCTCAAACTAAACTAATAAACTTAACTTTTGCAGAATGAGGAACGATATCGGAAAATGAGGACAAGACTTCATGGAAAAAATGGCAAGCTTTGGAACTGAACAGAAAAATGTTCTTTCGGCAAGTGCTTTTTCTTTTATTCACATAGGACTCAGGTTGTACTTAAATGAACTTAAATCTATATTTTCACAAAACTTCCATTAATCTGTGTTTCATGGAAGCTTTTAATGTCTATAGAATACAGCTGGAATGGCGGAATTGACTTATACAGCATTCGCAAGAAATGACTCGTTTATTGTTGCACAACGTTTTGCGAACAATCGTAGGGCAAGAATTTTATAAATATTATATACTAAAGCACATATATACGTTACCTTCGTGTACACAACCAGGTCAAGTCCTTCGTGCGTAACTAAGTTATTAATGACATCGATTGCTTCCGAGGCATTCTGCAAAAGAACGTATGATATCCTGATTTAAATATGTTTGCTTGTATTCTAAATTGCGGTGGCTGCAAAAATGTCTACCCCAGAAATTGTGACGAAAGGTTGAGAAATTAACTCAATGTTAAGTTTCGCTTTAACTTTTGTTCATCAGTTCCGTTCAAAAATGAAAACCTCTAAAAGGTGAACTACTTATGTAAAATGCATTCAACACAATCAGGTGTAACACTCGCACTTATGATTATTTATGATGGCTTTGTATGTATGTATGTATGTATGTATGTATGTATGTATGTATGTATGTATGTATGTATGTATGTATGTA